GCACGAAAAGTGCAAAAACGCATAATCGCACCGGCCCGCCTGGTGCGTTCCAGCCTGGGTTTACAGAACGTTTTGAAAAAAATCGTTGCTAATCGTCATGAATTTCTCGGAAATTGAAAATGTTCCTTTAATTGTTTCCTCAGTATGAGCTTTTTTTTGATTATGTCTTGTTCCGTATACAGCCAACGCTAAAATCTGATGGAGAGCTTGTACTTTTCATTTAAAAAACAAGTTGAATAATTATAAATGCAAAGGGTTTGACAATAACTGCGCCTAATGAGGAAGTGTGCCACGGATACCCAGGATAGCCTTGTTTGCTTTCAGTGTGCATTTATAATGGGAATGGAGAGGAGCTCAGATTTTTTTTTGTAGCCAGGATTTGGGTACAGAGTAGAGGAGGGGAACAAGGACCAAATACAGGAGTTTTTGTGAAAGCATTCCAGCAATTTCACAAAACACGAAAAATAATCGTACCGATTGTCCGGACTATTTTGTTGTTCTTTATTAATGCAGACACGATGGATTAAAATGAAAATACGTTGTGCACTTTTTAAAAAAAATATTGAGGCTTTTTTTTAAAGTTTTTTTACTAGCTGCCACCGGTATCTCGTTTTTCACTCCCAGGTGCGCACCTTGTTTTGCACAATGAATTTTATTTGTCAATATGTGAAAATACGGATTTTGCATATATATCAATTCACTAGCCAAATTGTTGGCTCATCATTGGTGAGGGAGTGTTCTTTGCATCACTGGGCTATCTCCACTTGAAAATCCATTTACTGTTACATTCTTATCTGAATTTTAGGGCAGCGGGCGGCAAAATTGCCCTTGTTTGACGTTGCGACGGGAAGCGTCTAGTGTTTCGTATTTTAGTTACTGACGGCGTCTGTATCGTTGACCTAGCACTGTGAATCCATTGCCAAGCTTACGTGATGATTCGTTTGACTGGTTTTTATTTGGCCACTTTTTCGTGGGTAAGATGATGAGGGGAGATGGGGTAGGTAAAGATGGATTCGGATAGGCTGAGGAAGGTGAAGTTGGGAAGGGGCCGGATCGGGAGGGCAAAGGGAAGTTAACGTGGGTAAACTTAGGTGCGGATGAGCTAAGGGATGTTGAGGTAAGTAGGAACAGGTGTGGAAGACTGAGGTAGATAGGAATGGGTGCATTTGAGTTGGGAAGATGTGAAATGGGCAGGGATGAAATTGGGCGAGGTGGGGAAGTAAAGTGGACGGGGATGGGCCAGGGAGGGGCAGGAAAAAGGGTGGAGTGGGCTGGGTGGCTTCGGATATTCTGGTGGGTGAGATGCAATCTAAGGTACATGGGGCGAGGGAGCAGTAAGCATTCTAATACTACAAAAAAAAATATATGTGTTGGTTAGAATAAAAATTGCTCATTATCTCGTGAAGTCTCGGAGGCTGAGGTTTAAGACGATTTTTGGAAAAAAGGCATCTTCATTCTTGTTAGCACTGTGAATCATATTTGCTACTACTACCTCATATTATCGATGCAGTGCGCTTCATCCTCTGTCTCGGTTGCGCTAATGTTATTTGCTGTCAGAGTCAAAATGCTTTCATGAAGTGCAAGGATTAGTGAAGCATAGCTTTTGTTCTTATTTGCTCATTTCTTGCATATAAATCTTTTGCAAATGTTACTTTTGCCAAAGCTACTATTTCTTAAACTCACTGCAACAGCTGGTGGAGCAATTACCCTAGAGCAATTGAGGGCTATTTTTGCCAGTAGCACATAGTACTGTTTTCAAGATTACGGTATCCATACTGACCTCCATACTTTGCTTACTTGGAAGATCTAAACGGCACTTCTAATTTTTCCATAACTGTCAAAATTCGGTTGTGTTCCTTTCAACAATGGGACGATTACGCCAAACAGACTGCGTATATTAACACGTAGAAGATTTCAGGCTCCCATTTTCTTTCAGTCCTCTAGCCAGAGATATTCATTGTTTGCATCGTTATTAATTTCTGAAACACTTTGATCGGCTATAGTCCATAATTTCACTCTTCAGCTATGCAGTTGGTAACTTTTGCAGTTGCTTCATCCAGTGCTACATCAGCTGATCGTCAGCCTGCTGACAGTCAGGGCAATGGTTTCTGCGCCTGAACGAAATTACGAGCAGAGTGATTCTCCTCATAGAACTACTTAGACAGGGCTTTAGCTGTTTCGAGAAATCTTTGGTTGTGGGTGCGTGTATATGTGTGTGTTTGTGAGTGTGTGTGCTTATGTATACTAAGCTGTACTTCCTTACCTCAGACATTTGGCCACCGAAACGTTTTACTTTACCTTTAAAAGACCGAAACATTTTACCTCACCCTTAAAGGACCAAAAAATTTTACCTCACCCTTAAAATACCGAAACGTCTTACCTCACTCTCTTCTTTTATTCTTATTTTTCCTTCTTCGTATAGTTTCTAGTTTCTACCACTTAAAGCATCCAGGCCTAACTTGGCTGCTACGAACTAATTTCTAAACCACTCCAAGGTACCTGATAGTGTCTCTTTTAACATATTATTGATGTATTGTTGCTATACGCTGTTTGAGGAGAACGTGATAAGAAATGTTACTTTTTTGAGGTAGCAATGTTTGGCACACGTTGCTTTAGCTCGCCCATACAACTGCTTTGCCACACTTACGATCCGATTCGATGATTGGTCAATAATGGACAGCTTCGCGAGAATAAATTTGAACTGGACGCAACAACGTTGCAAAGATGGTCTAGTTGTGACCGCTGCACCGGTATCCCTATCAAATGCTGTGCTGTATTTATTTGCCCTGCTCTACTGCTTCCTGGGAATTGCCATTGTTTCTGATGTTTTCATGCGCTCAATCGAAAAAATTGTTACAGCAACCAGGTATGGTCTAACTTTTTCCCTCATTTGAATTACTGATTAACAGAGCTTTAAAAAAGTTATTATTAATTGGATTTTCGATGTTTCGTCCGAGTGGGTACTGCTACACACTAATGCGCGACCTTCACCAGATTTCGACAAGGCGAACAACATTCCTGTCTTGACCACTAGTGCTGTATAGTTCAGGATCGGAGAGGACTAGTAATCATATATGCAGCATCTAGGAGCATTTCAGTAACATCACTAACATGGGATATCCTTACTGATTGTCTGAGCTCTTTTATATTAATGCTCCTCTTATCACTTGCTTAATAAAGTTTGCTGTTAACAGTGAGGTTCAGAGCAAAACATCTTAAGCGTCCTTCCTTCAAATATATAACGCATCAAAGCGTAAAATGAACGCTCAAATAGCCTCGAATTTTAATCACTTTTCCTTTTGATAGATAGTTGTAACCAAATCAAGGAATACAGTAGCAAAGTGAGGTGACGGAGCTCTTCTTATGCTCCAATCTCGACACCGTAATTTCAAAGTGCATGGTTTTCGATCCGTTTTGAAACTAGATTAATGAAGAAACAGAGGACATGTTAAAACCCTAGCAACTTCCGGCCTACCTCCCCAGTAACTCAGCTTTCATTTCTGCAATGAATGATCTTTTCCAGTCTAATTTGAAAAATGTTATTCTGAGGCAGTGAAGCAAAAAGTATTTTTTCCATAATTTTTGCAGAAATTTGCAGGAAAGTAAATTTAAAAAAGCTTAAGAGGAATCGTCTGGAAGCAGAGGAGATGGCTGGTCCAAATGAAGGCGTGGAAGTGCGCGTTTGGAATCCAACTGTCGCTAATTTAACACTGATGGTAACGAACTTCAATCCTATTTTAATATTAAAAAAATGCATATTATAACAGTAGGAAAATTGCGTTTTTTAAGGAATTCATAAAGCAATATTCACGTTTATTATAGAATGGGCACCACTTCGTTTTCACTTACTACTTAGCTTATTTTGGTTCTTTAAAGAGCTGTTGTTTCATCGTTGCGTTTCTTCCCGCTGCTGATTTAGCTGACAACTTCTCCATTCTTTTCTGTTTTGAGCTTCTCCTATTCACTTTTTTTTCGCAGAGCGGTTTAGCTGATATGCCTATTGCACTGGTGCTCTTCTGTGTTCTTTCAACATTGCGCAAGTGCCATTTAACAATTCAACAAATTTACAAGCGTAAAAGCAATTTGCAGAATTTTTTAGCACCTCATTATTTTGTTTAGGCATTGGGAAGCAGTGCTCCGGAAATTTTACTTTCAACAATCGAAATTATTGCTAATAATTTTCGCGCCGGTGACCTTGGACCAGGCACAATTGTTGGTTCGTTTCTAGGAATTATTTCGATTAGAAAAAAGATATATTATGCTAATTTTTAGACAAGAACACTGGCGTGCTAATGTGTTATCCTTCCATTCCAAAATTACCAATTTGTTGCCTTTATTTCGTTACAGCGAATTTTCGAAAATTTCATGTTTTTTTCGGTGAATTTATTCCTCTTTTTTTGGGATATAATTTAAGCAATTTTGCTGCTTTAATTTTCAAAAGCTTTTCTAAGAAAAATCATAATCGTACAATCTAAAAAATTATTTCATCAAGAATGTGGGGCTTTACTGATACATTAGAGGAAGCAGACAATGGTTCTTTCACTGAAAAGATGGAACATTACAAATTTTAAAGTAAAAACCGATTTCACTCTTCGTTAAAGACGATAAGGGGGGAGGGGG